TTAAAATAACCATTTTAAAGTGTGCAACTCAGTGGCACTCAGCACATGTATTGTGCAGCTGTTACTTCTGTCCAGTCGCTAAACAATTTTCCTCACCTCCAGAACTGCCCCTATTCGCATTACGCTGTCATTCCCTCATCTCCCCTCCCTTTCTCTAGCAACAACTAATGTGTTTTCTGTCTCTATCTGATAGAAATGGTGGTGTGTCTGTTAGGCCCTGTTGGTTGATAGTGCTATTTTCGTCCTCTGTTTCCTTATGGACCTTCTCTCTGTTCTATCCACTTCTTTACATAAGGTTTTATAAATGTGGTGGTATAGGAGGGTAAGGCAGGTTGGTGATAAGGCCTAGGAAGGGCGTAAGAATGAAAAAACATTTATTTTAATGCATGCCTAATGTTATTACTTTAAAAACAAAAATATTTTTCCAAGTTGTATGTTTAATTATATAGCAGTATAATGCAGAAGAAAATTAAAATCACTTAAAAGGAAAGTGATACACGTTAATGTATATATCCCTATGGCATATTTTTATATCATAAGAAGGTATTAAAATATACATCTATAAATTTTCCCCATGTAACTAAAGTTGAATGCTTTTTTCATGCCAATAAGTAATTTTTAAAATAATCTCTCTCCCTTTAAAATTGAGATAATGCTGTTTTCAAAACTATAGAGATTCCAGAAAAATATTTCCAACTCAGCCCTGCATATATCTCACCAGGCCCACCAAATGTCCAGTCTCCAATTCTGCCAACCAGCACATCCTTGCCAACACTTACCACCTCTTGACTTTAGGTGACCATTTGACTCCTTGATATTAACCATTCTAACTGACACTCATCTACCAATTGCCACTTGCCAGCAAACATCAGCTCCTCTACCCATTTTCTCCATCCTCTTCCCCTCTGGTGACCAGCATGCAGTTGTCAGGGACAGGGGTTTTGATGTTTTGTTTGTCCGCTTTTTTCTCTCTTTATGTCCCGTAAATGATTGCAGTCGTACAGCATTTGTCTCTCTCTTTCTGACTTATTTCACTTTGCATTCTCTCCTCAAAGGCCATCCATATCGTCCATGGCAAGATTTCATCTTTTTTAAATGGCTGAGGGGTATTCCATTGTGCACACATTCCGCCTCTTCCACGCCCATTTGGCCATATGCTGTGATTAGTGCTGCAGTGATTAAAGGAGTGCATATGTGTTTTCAAATTAGTGTTTTTATATTCTTCGGATAAATGCCCAGAAATGGATTACTGGATCATCTGATAGTGCTATTTTTAATTGCTTGAGGAACCACCATACCACTTTCATCAGTGACTGCACGGATGCACATTCCCACCAACCTGCACATCCTCGCCAGCAGTTGCTACCTCTTGACGTTAGGTGAAATCTCAATGTGGTTTTGATTTGTATTTGCCTAAGGAAAAGTGACAAGTGATAGACTATCTCTTCGTGTGTCTGTTAGTCACCTACATGTGTTTGGTATAGGTCCTGTGCCCTTTTTTGAAAGTTAGGTTGAATGTCTCTTTGTTGTTTAGTTGTATGACTTGCTTATATATTTTGGATATTAGCCCTTTGTCTGATACATGGCTTGCAGATAACTACAGACAAAAAGGCTGGTTTTTTGTTTGATACATGGCTTGCAGATAACTACAGACAAAAATGCTGTCTTTTTGCTTTAACAGTGGCTTCTTTTGCTTTATAGTTTGATATTATTCCATTTGTTTATACTCTTGTTTCATTTGCTGTTTGCGACTAGTCTCACTTTCACTTATTATATAGCCCAGTTTTAAATGCTGCAAGCTCCATTTAAATTAATGGACATATAAAATTTTTGGATTTTTTCCAGAGTTTGCTGTTATGAGCAATATTTTAATGAAGATTCTTGTGTATAATTCTTTTTGTAATTTTTATTTTCTTGGGATGAAAGCTTAAAGTAGAACTTCTAAATCGAATGGTTTTTCAGTACACACATTTTTTCCATGTATTTTAACAAGGTCAAATGCTACTAGCCAGAAGATTTCTCAGTGTATACGAGAGGGCGTTTTTTCCCAAATCCTTACCTGTTCTCATTGTTATTATTTAATTATCAATGATATTTCCAAAGCAATAATAGCACCTTGTATATTCAGATTACTTGCCAGCTGGCAGATGATACTAAGCTGAGCTCTTTGCATGCATTATCTCAGTAATCATCACAATAGTGTTGTGAGGCTAAAGCTATTGTTATGAGTTGATGATGGAGGAGGAAAAATAGATTTAAATCTCTTAATAGATTATATCCTTTTATTTAACAAATGAAGTGGTCAGATATATGGTATATAAATGCTTTCTTCGATCTGTGGGTTTTCCCTTTCACTTTCTTAATAATCTCCTTTGAAGTACTGAAGTTTTTCACTTTGATGGGGTTGAATTTGCTCTTTTTTCTTTGGTGACTTGTGACTTAGGTGTCATATAAAAGAAAACATTGTCTAGGCCCAGTTTATGAAGATTAAGGTCACAAGGTAATGCACTGTAGCATTGAGTCTCCTACATAGGTCTTCATGCACTCTTCATACATACACTTACCCTGTTTTTATATAGTATTCTCACATTATCAGAAGCTTGTTTATTTTTTTTAAAAAACTCCATGAAAAATGGCAGATATATTGTTAATTTGCCTTAAATTTATTTCATAATAATATACTAGTGGAACCAGTTAGACCTAATAAACTAATTAATTGAAAACAAATGCTAGTTTTTTCTTTGGAAAGCTTTTATATAAGAATCACTCTGAAACAGAAAAAACTTTTATAAAATGGATATTAAAAATCCCCTCCCTGCTCAAAATGCACTGGAGTATGGTGATGGCATACAAGTGATTTGGTGATGGGAAACTCCCGGGGATTACTATTGATATGGAAAAAAGGCACAAAATGATGTAAAAATAAACTATTAATTTAAAAAATCCCCTCCCCACTCATTAATTTTTTTACTCCTTTGTGAGATATAATTTACACACCATCAACTGCATTTCCTTTAAAGTGTATGACCCAAACTAATTGTAAAATGTTTCATCATTTCAAAAGTAAACCACTGCCCATTATCTTACTCCAGTGTTCCTTCTCCTAAACCACTGGGAATCACTGCTTTATTTTCTGTCTCTCTGGATTTGTCTATTTTGGGAATTTCATATAAATGGAATCACACTACATGAGGCCTTTTTGTGACAGGTTTCTTTCACTTAGTGTGATATTTTCAAGGTTTACCCATGTTGTAGTAGATATCGGTACTTTATTCCTTTTTGTGACTGGATAATATTGCTATACACACACACATATATCACACACACACACACACACACACACACACACACACATATATATATATCACATTTTGTTTATCCATTTTCATTAGGCATAAACATTTAGGTTCTTTCCCACTTTGGGGACTATTATGAATAAGGTTGCTATGAACATTCATATATAGGTTTTTGTGTGAACAAATACCTTTAATTCCCTTGTTGTAGCTCAAGGAATTGAATTTCTGGGTCATGTGGCAATTCTATGTTATTTTTTTTTTGAGAAACTGACAAACTTTTTGCTGCCACATTGCACCATTTTACATTATACTAGCAATGTGTGAGGATTCAAAATGTTCTCCTTGTCTGTCTGCTTGATTACAGTGAGAGTGAGGTAATATCATTACTGATGAATGATACTGAGTATCTTTTTATATGATTATTGGTTATTTACAGAGCTTCTTCGTTGAGATGTCTATTTAAATAGTCTGTCCAGGGGTGCTCCCTGGTGTGCAGCAGGTTAAAGCACAACACTAGGAAGTGATTAGCAGCCACTGAAACATGAGTTCAATCCCCGCCCCGTAGGTGATCCACGTGGCACGGCAGACCTCTCCTGACCTGCCTGCTGCTCCCCTCAGCAGTGCACTTTGTCATCTGCCTGTTCTGCTTATGCACTGTCTCTCGTGAATCCTCTCATCCCTCACACATCTGGCCTATCCCCTAGTTCTTATATGCATAAATAAATCTTTTTAAAAACCAGTCTGTCCATTTTAAAATTGGATTGTTGTTCTTAGTGAGTGTAAAAGTCCTTTAATATTAGATCCTTATCAGATATATCATTTGCAAATATTTTCCCCATTCTGTCTATCAATTGCCTTTTGATTTTAATGATAGTGTCCTTTTTGAAGCATAGCAGTTTGAGATTTTGATGATGCCAAGTTACCTATTTTTGTTTTTGGTTTGTTTACTTGACTTTGGGATATAAGACTTTATAATAAGAAATACTAACCAAAAATTATAGAGAAAAAAACCCCTGTGTTTTCTTCTAAGATTTTTTAGAGTTTAGCTCTTAAAAGGAAAAACACTGTTCTTTCCCATTAGATTGTCTTGATACCTTTATTGAAAAACCAGTTGGCCATACATATTTAGGTTTGCTTCTGAACAGTCAGTTCTACTCCACTGATTTATCTATATGCCAAATACTACACAATCTTGATTCTGGTAGCTCTGTAGGAATCTCCACTCATTAACTCTTTTGGTTTATGTCAGAGATCCTTAATCATCTCTACTATATGCTTTTAAGGTAACTTTATTTTTTTTTGTTCATATTTATGATATAATTATACTTTTCAATGTGAGGACTTGTAGCTGTGGTGTGCTGAGCTCTGTATGTTAACAGCCCCATCAAAGTACTGATGGAGAATGCATTGGGTTATGTATTTATAGTGGTCATTTTTTTTTTCAACTTTTACTAGGGAAATGAATACTTCAGAGAAGGGTCAGGGGAGGAACAATTACTATTTAACCTGTCATTGCAGTATTTGAAGATTTGGAGTCTGGGGTAAAGATAGGGGTTTTGGAAAGCTAACAGTGTTCAATGAGAATTAACTAGTAAACTGAGAGGTGGAATCAGAAAGTCTTGTGTTGAAATTCTGGTTCTTACATTATTATTTTGATGACTTAGGGCAAGTATTCTCATTTACTTGATTTTTAACCTTATATCCATTTATTTCTTTATTGTTCCTCTTCTCCTATTCCACATTGTCAAAATGTTTCTTAAAATTTGATTTCCAAAATTGGTACAACATGCGAGGTCCTACATGATAAGCACAGAGGATTCTCTCTCTATTTTTGGCCTACATTCTGATTAATGCACTAAGAATTATATTATTTTCTTACTTTTGAAAGTTAGCTTGTCCTTTGGTTGCATACTATTTTTTCTTTGCTTTCTATTCTCTGAAGATTAATTACCAGCGAAATAGCTAACAACTTTGTATGTTGTCTTTGACATCAAAAAAGATATAGGTCAAGGCTGAAAATGTGACTTTCAACCAAGCAAGAGTAGTACCCTTCTAAAGGTCTTAAATATTAATGAACATACGTTAGAGACCCAGTTTCTCAACTTCTGGGGAAAATGTTTATTCCATATGGTGTCTCACTGTGAATCTGCCCTTTTCCTTCTGTTTTCTGACTTAGCCTTTCTTGCCACTTTTTCTTTTCTTTATAACTTCTGCTTATACTTTTAGCCTTCTCAAGCATATTTAAGCTTCCTACGGCATCCCATAATCTCACTGTGCCTTACCCATATCGCAGGACTTCTTTTTAACTTCTTTACCTAATGTTATCTCAGTTTCTTAATCTGATTTCCTGAATGAGATATTAGTCAAGCATGTCTTTTCACACCAGATGTGCCACTGGCTGTTGATTGTTGATTGGGGGGTTGGGCAGAAGAAGGCTGTCCTTGGATCAATGACCCACCACCCCTGACCACCTGAGGTTGTTCTGTCAGCATCAAGGGTTCCACACAGGCTTTTGCTGGGCTGTATGTGGGAGACAGTTTGATTAATTTAGGAGTATGGCTTGGCAGTCACAGGAACTAACATTTCCAGTATAAATCAGGAAATATACAAGAAATTTGCATTTGATATGACTTGGTTGTGTATATTTGAGATTTGTGGGCATTCAAATGGAAATCCTCAGTAGAAAATGATGAGCCTAGTGGTCAGGATGGATGTTAGAGCAATTGGAAAGTTATCTGTAGAGAGGTTTGAGCTGTCAGCCTCCATGAGATACCTGAGTAAGGAAGTCTAAGGAGAGGGAAGGAAACTGAGGCTAACTCAAGACGTAAATATAAAGAGGATTTTTGCAGGAGAGATCAGCAGATTGCCACTAGTACCTTTAAAGACATGTTTTAGAGACAGATAGATGGATCAAAAAAGTTTCAAAGTGATTCTAGAACTTTGAATGTGGCTTTGTACTAATGACCTTAACTAACTGATTCTTGCTATATTCTTACCCCAATTCCCTTCTTCATAGGTAGAAGAAGAAATCCTGACTCTTTCTCAGGTGTTAGCAGCAAAAGAGAAGCATCTAGCAGAGATCAAGCGGAAACTTGGGATCAATTCACTACAGGAACTAAAACAGAACATTGCCAAAGGGTGGCAAGACGTGACAGCAACATCTGCGTATGTTCTCTTGATCATCCACTCCTCTGGAGACTGCAGAGGGTGTTTTTTGCCCTCTTTGTCTGGGGAGGGGAATAGAGAGGGAAGGAGCACACTTCTGCGGCTTTTTTGTGGGTAGCACAGGATACTTTTCCAGTCCTAAAGTATACTTGCTTCTTTTCTAACTTCCAGGTTGTCCTAGGGAATAGAAAGAAAAGCAGCCCTCTATATGAGCAGAATAAATAAAATTTTAAATTCCAACATGTTGACTTGTCCGATAGTTACCTGTGTCACGAGTTCTCAGAATAACCCCCTATAGAGTGGGTGGTGAGATAACCCCAGATATGGAAATGGATTCAGTAAGTTTTAGGTCAAAAGCTTCTCCAAATGTGAAAGCAGGATTGGAACTTTTTTTTTTCCTTAAACTCAGCTCTTTATATAGCATTGGACTCTTGGGGTCACAGTTTCTTTTAGATGGCAGAGTCTTGATTCTTTTCATCATACACATTTGGGTATGGCACCGTTGTGATACAGTTTTGTTTCCCAGCATAAGGAGGAACAGCAAGCTTCTAGTAACAGATTCCACACAGTTCTTTGTCTTCTGAATTCACTCCTAGCTGCTGAGCTGGCGACCAGCAGAGAGGCCTACTGCACTCTGATGTGACAGGATAGGGTGTCCACCTCATTGTTCTCCTTGCTGCCTGTAAGTTGGCTGTGGAGAACATGCAAGGAACGATTCTTCAGTCTCACTATAAGCTGAATTTGTTTTTTATGTTTGATCTTGATGGAAAAAGAAACATACATTCTTTTCTAGAAAGAAACCTTAACCTCTTTGGTGTTCTATTTTTTGTTTTTCCTTTGTTAATCCCAGGGTAGATGGAAAGAGGAGCAGGTAAATCGAACCTTGTGTTAGACAGCAGATACCACATGTGAATCATTTTAGATATTGTAGTGTTTATGTGTTTTGCTGAGAGTTGCAAGTACTTATTGGGTAGCTGTTATAGACATGCAGAATTAAAAAACAATTGGATAATAAAATGCATGTGGGCCTTGCTTTTGGTCCCTTTTAGAAGACAAAGTTGTGAAAGGCATGGCAGGAATTTGATTTCACTTTTGTTTTGTTTGGCTTAAGTGGAAAAGTAAAGAACATGAGATATAATTTCTTTGAGCCTCTGGCTGCTTCTTTTTTTGCTTCATGACTAATTTTAGTACTTATCCTGATGTCTTTGGCTCTGCCTCCATCTTTCTGACCGAGGGCACTGCACAAGACTGTGCCTGAAATGATATTTAGGTAGAAAATGATGTGGTGATGCTGACCTAGTGATGATGAAGGATTTTAGATAGACTAATATTTTTGCAGGTTCCCCAAAAGGTGTGCTCACAACACTTGAAATAAATGATATGAAGGAAAGGCTAGCTTACTTTTCTTTGACCTTTTCCTTTATATTTTAATACAGCTATAAGAAGACATCTGAAACCCTATCTCAGGCTGGGCAGAAGGCTTCGGCTGCTTTCTCATCAGTTGGATCAGTCATTACCAAAAAACTGGAAGACGTAAAGTATGTCCTCATTTTCCCCAGTTCATTAAGAGAACTAAACCCATACTGTGTTATTATATTGCACTGTTTGCTGACTTCGGGCCTGCTGATGCTGCATTCCCCTCTTACTGAATGAGGGCGGCACTCCCTCCTACCTGTGCTGGAAGTGTTGCCCAGGTTTGTTCTGGCATAGTCTTCTAATGTTCAGACATAACGTTCAACAAGAGTTCCTTATGTTGCGTTAACCTTGGGTACATTCAAGGTTACTGAAAAATTCTGGTTGTGAACTTTTGTCTTTTTAGTCCTTCTTGATTGTAAATGGTAAGCATGTCTCTTGTGGTTGTTACCTTTGTGACTGTGGGCTGAGCCTGTGTCTTATTGAAGATGAGTTCAGGACCATTGAAGTACCCACTTTAACTGAGGCCTGACATCACTCACTTCTTTGTGGTAGGTTTTTTACAAATCTTGGTGTGATTACGAAATACCCATTCGTGCACTGATTTGTACTGATTGATAAGCAATAGCTTTACTCATGCTTATGTTCAAATCTTGGTTTTTGAGCAGCGCTATTTGTTTTGCATTTTTTAAAAATAATTTTAATTTGGAGGTTACATTTTTGCTCTTTCATACGTGCCCATGCCCTACTCTGTCTCCACTAAACCATCCTTGCCCAAGTCTCCTCTGTCTCCCTCTGCCACTCATTCTGCTTTTGTGTTTTAGATTAGTCTGTAGAATTTAATTCCACTTCATGGTGCTTTTGTGCTCTACCCCCATCTCTTACCTGACACGCCTGTGGATTAGCATAGTGCTGAAAGTGATAAACGTGGTTTATAAGAACAGCCCTTCTGTTGCATGCAAACTCTGTGTTTTAAAAACAAAATGCTCAGATTGCATGCCTTTGTGTCTTTTGTGTGTTGGGAAATTTGGTTTTACAACCAGAATTTTGTTATTTGAATAAGTTTGGTCAATCAGTGTATTTCTCCTGTACCCAAATAATTTGCTCATTCTGTTTGGATGATCTCCATTGCATACACAAAGCAAACATGATTTCTTGAACCTTCCCACAATCACATAGACATCTCTCAGGTGCTCTCAGTATCTGCCATGTCCTCACAGCTGTGCAGCACTTCAGTGTCCAGTTAAAGTCTGTCCCGACTTTTATTAAAAAGTAGGTTATTTGGCCTTCCCTGGTGGCACAACAGGTTAGGACAGCAGTGCAAGCCAGCCACAGCCGCTTCAGTTCGAGTTCCATCCCTGCCCCGGAGGTGACCCACAAGGCCCGGCAGACATCTCCTGACCCTCCCGCTGCTCCCCTCAGCAGTGTACTTTGTTGATCTGCCTGTTCTGCTCCCCACTCTGTCTCTGGTGAATCCTCTCACTGCCCCTACACCTCTGGCTTGTACCCCAGTTCTGTATGCATAAATAAATAAACCTTTAAAAAAAAAAACTAGGTTACTTAATTGTTTCCAATTTACCAGAACTTCCTTTCTTTTCTAATGCTTACTCTGGCTTTTTACAGATTTCAGGCCTTTTCACATTCCTTTAGGTAAGGAGAGTTGAAACCGTCACTGTAGCTTAGCAGCTGTCTTGAGACAAGTGTGCTTAGATCTTTCTGCCACGCTGACTGGCCGTGTTTGTCCACTACATACCTTTCTTGCGTTTTGACTATCTTTTTCTCTAGTGCAATTCTATATTCAAGGGAGGGTTTCTTGTATACCATGGGTAATGGATAAATTAAAAGAAGAATTTGACACTGTGGTTGAAGGGATATGGAAATGATTTTGACTTTTTTTTAAACTGTATTTTTTTAGTAAAAAGAAGCCGCTTTACCGTGGCATGCAGAATCCCTCCCTTTTAATGTTTGACTTTGTTTGTTTTTGATGCTTCAGTTTCTTTGGTGCTTTTGTAAGGATTTTGAAATTTTTCTATCACCTGGGTTCCATTATGCATTTGTAATACTCTGCATATGTACTGCCTCAGGACCTTCGTTCTTCTGTATTGCATAGGTTAGTTACTCAGAGAAATTTTTTGTGTGTGCTAAAATATACCCAAGATAAAATATACATTACTCTGTATTTTTTAAGACTTGTTTTACAATTTTATTATTTCATTACTCTAGTTATATCTTCTAAATATGCATGTAAGGAAAATTTCCTGGTTCAAAAGTATAGGTATAGCCTAAAATAGGCTAAATAAGAAAGCATATTAAATAGATGCCAGCCAAACCAGACCTCATAGAAGGAAGCTTTGTAGGATTGAGCAAACTTCCCCTTTTTCTCCCATACAAACTCTAATTACCTATTTAGTAGTCAGAATAAACTAAGGTGGAAGAATGTCTTTATAAGTGGGAAGGATAATACAGGAGTCTCCTGTTCTTTTCTTATTAATTCAAATTGTCCTTTTAAGCAGTCACTTGCTAGTTTGGCTATTAGCCTTTTAAATAAGCAAGCAGGTACTTAAAGCTAAGCCCTTCTGTCTTACTTACATTTAGTCCTAGAAGTCAGAGTATTTAGAGCCAAGTAAACTCAAAATGTTGAACTCTTTCAAGTTAAAATTGTATTCTTAACAAAAAAATATATATATATCAAGGAATCAGTGATGGATGGTGACTCTTTGTCTCTGGTGTTTAGTTATAAATGACTGAGGTTCTAGGCCCATCTTTAACTGAAGTTATTGAGTTGTGTGAACATGTATGCAGTCACATAGCCTGTTTTGCTGATATCAGAATGTCTGCTGTCAAAAGGATATAACTGTACACTAGACATAGTAGTACTTTGGAAAGAATTTAAAATCTTTAGTGGATAGAAGTGGGGAGTAGAAGTGAGTTTGGATTTGAAGTGCCTGTTAGTGATTAATTATAAAACAACGTTAAATATAATATAAACAAAAATCTGAAATTATGTAAAGACTATGGAGGCATATGTTTCATCAGTGCATGTCATTATTTCTCTATACCTTTAAAAAGACTATGTGTATAAGTATTGCTCCATGTAATACTCCAGTTTTTCTGTTCTTTTCTAAACTTCATAGTGATTTTTTTCATTTAATTTAAACTATAATTGTAGTTATATGCAAGCTACCATTTTCTCTTTTTTTTTAGGAGTTTGTCATTTATTAAAAGCAAACATGTAAGGGAATCCATTTTGAACCCTGTTTTAATGAATCATTATATCAGTAAGTGAAGGTTTAAAGTAAGGTGTCTGATTAAAACTTGAAATACAAAATTATCTTTTGAAAGCCAAATTTTATAGCAAAATCTTACAGATAAAAGCTGGATAAAGTTATTTAATAAAATATCTGTGCTAAGAAATTCTGATAATCTGTTTTTATGTGGTCACGTATAATAGAAAACATGAAAACATATAGGACACATAGAATCGACATCTTTTAGATTAGTAAATTGTAACAGATATTGGCCCCCAACAACTGTCTCAGGAGAGTGAGCTTGGACTGTGTATCTTCAGCGATTTGGTCCCACTGTAAGACCTTTTCTCCCATAGACACAGATGCAGGAAGCCACTTTGCCAAGTGCTGTGAAATGATTGGTTAATCTGTTCTGAGTCCATGCTTACCCAGAAACCTGTGGTAGTGATTCACTCTCTGATGGACTGTGGATCTTTTGTTGGCATACATAGTTAGACTTAAAAAAATTTTTTTTATTTTATATGGTCAGCTAATAAAGTAGCACTTGGGATATAGATGTAAATGTTTACCATATTATAGATTGATAGGTTAGTAAGGAAAAGGGGAGGGAGTGAGCACCTAGAGAGTGGGGAAAGAGTTTTGATGTCCTTAGATTTAGGTGTCTGTGACAGGTTGGGGATCAGGCATGGGGTATGGAAATGAGCACTAACCTGGGAGATCCTCTGGGACCAGCAGCTTTGCCCTAAATGGTGTGTTCATATCTACCTCTCGTCTGTTTGCTTATTTTCTACATGTATATGAAGCATTGACTTATGCCTTTCATTTTTGAGAGAAACTTAAAAAGAGCCTTCTCATTTCACTTGGTTTCAGTGTTTGGAATAAACTGTAGTAGTATTACTAACCACTGTAAGTATTCAGTAACATTAGTCAAATATTATGATATATGTAAGAAGTACTACTTTGCCTTATTTCCAAAGGAAATTTTTCCTTTTAACATGTGTGTTTCTTCATGTAAGCCTCTAGATACTTCATATTGTTTTGGACTTAATAAGTTATTTCCAAACAATTCTGTTATGCTGAAAATTTCCACCACTAAATGGGAAAAGAAAGGATCTCTTTCCTCTTCTCAGAAAATTTTCTTATTTTCCTTCTCTATCCCCTGATAATTCCAAGTGACTTTACAATTCATTTTTTTTCAGCTTTTATCATCTCAAAACTTGTTTTCTGTAGATAATCCTGAATTACCTTGTGCTGGATGCTGAATTTAGTCAATTTGATACATCTAGAATTCTCTGACCCATCCCTTTTATTCTGCTTTTGTTCTGTTCCTCTTCAAATAGCTTGTGTGCTGGCTTCAGGGGCATAGGACCCACCAAATGTCAGCTGGAGGAAGTAATCTTGTACATGGGTGCTTAGGGACTGTAACTAGAATTAGCTGTACATTACTGAAAAGTATTCTTACTTTCCCCACCCATTTCCTCATTTTGTTGAAACTATGAATTTAGTCTGCAGTTTATCACATTTGGCCATTATTTACCTTCTTTTGCCAGAGTCTAGTCTAGTCATTTCTGCCAAAATGAATGTTCTAGTTAAGTCTATGAGAACTATGTAAAGTTAGCTCATAAAAAAAGGGAATTATGTTACACAGAAATAAGTTGTTTTGGAATCTATGGAGGAGCATTCCAAATCTTGTTTTTTCATAAGTAGGCTGGAGTTCACTCACTCTAGCCCACAAAAAAACAAAGTCACAAACACAAAATATTAATTGAGGATTAATACTTTGGACTGTCCTGCTTACCTGAAAATGCCATGTCGGTGATCAAAATATTTTAAGTGTGAACATATCAACTGGCACAGTGACTATGTGAGTCCCAGAATTAAGTTACTTTTCATCTTGTGAGGTGATCTCTATAGGAGATGGCTGAGAGCAGGTCATCTTGAACTAGAACTTTATCATCTGAAGTAGGAAGTTGGTACAAGTAAAATGGGGGAGGGGGAACCAAGGATATTTGAAAGGCATTTAAGAACATTAGGTTTAATTGTGATGAGCTACATGTATGTTATTAGAAAATTGATCCTACTACTACTGATTGGTATAAATGAACTTAAAGTTGTCAAGTAGGTGGTTTATTTGGAGACCTTCCTGTTCTTACCAGGTAACAAATATGCTGGGAAAAGACAGCCAGAGCCCTTCCCTGGCCTTGCTTGTGTCTGTGTGTACATGTACGTGTGTGCTTCATTTTTTGAGGGGAGGTGGTAAACATGGACTCAGTGAGGCCCAAAGGCCCAAGTGACTTAGAGTAAAGCATTTACCTTTTGAATCTTGATGCTAAGTGCCTTACAGATACAGGTGAAAATACTTTATAGTTTTGAAAGTGCTATAAAAATGCAAGGTTCGCTTATTTTAAAAGTCAATCAAATTGTTAACTACTGGGATTAAATTGGCTCATGAATAAAAGTAAATTATGTTGGAATAACTTTGCTCCCCTCCATCTCAAAAAGTAGATGATTCTTCATGGTGCCTAAAAGACAAAGTTGCTAGAAAGCTAAAATTTAGTTGCCTTTTCAATAATGTTGAATTACCATTGTACTAACTTCATTTCTATCTATCTCTCTTTAATGCTGCCTCTTAGTATACGCTCCATTCAACATTCAATTAGCATGCCTGCTATGAGGTAAAGTATACTTGTTATTTAGCTGTGTGCTTGATCTGTTGAGTAGGGAATCAGAATTTTACTCTAAACAAGCTACAAATTTAACATGGTATGTTTTCAGTTGCCCTTCCTGTCTTGTTAGGAATGCAAGAGACCTGTTAAATGTTTGACTTTTTTTTTTTTTTAAAAAAGGGATTATCACCTCTAAATAATTTTGTCAACTTATTGTCTCATGCCTGACATCCGTTTAACTGAAAAAGCTAATGTTATTCATCTTAATAAACTTCCTCTTCATGGATTTAGTTGTCCAGCCATTTCTACAATGTAATTTTAGTTACATTCACTCTCTTCCCGCCTTTTTTTCTATCCTATCCATTTGTTTCCCCTGATGTTGGCGCCAGCTGTGATTTAATTCTACTGTCCTCTCTCATGAGAAAGTACTTGCAAGTGGTTGTTCCCTCTCCTCATCCTTCTAGAGACAGAGGATTTTTTTAAGTATGTGTTTGGCTTAAACTTCAGTGCATATCAGGACTAACTGCATGGATTTTTAAATGCAGTCTGATTAGTTAGGCTTAGGGTGGGATTCAGAATCTGCATTTATGTTGACAGCTTCCCAGCAGACTACTGATAGTCCTGGCCTGAGGACCACACCTTGGCCTGGCTGCGAGAAGGAAAAACCTCTCCCTTCCTCGTCATCTTTCACTTCTTGGTGTAGTAGGAAGCATAGTATCGGGTGGATAGTATCACAGCTTCAGAAATCCACCTGTGAACAACACAGGTGCTGTGACCCTCCTTAATTAATATGGGTGAATGTGAAGGCATGAGAATTTCATGAGCTCAGATGGGGGCAGATTTGTGAAATAGGCAGATCTGTTTCTGTGGTCCTCCCTTCCTGTAGGGCCCCCTTTTCGTTACGCTGTTCCTGGCAACCAGTTTTGGAACCCCATATGGTCTGATAGGAGTTCGTGCAGGAAATTTGTGAATTTAAACATGAATTACAGAGCTAGCTTCTTAATCAAAATTAGACTAGTTGGTTGGGGAAGTGACAAATGGATGCTTGACTTGATGTTATTCCTTCGCCTCACACATGTCCTTGCTTAGGTATATCTCATGTGTCCAAGATGGGCTTTGTTCATGGAATCAAAAGCATGGTGAAAATCTCAAAACAGAAATTGAGAATGTTATGATGACATATTTGTGTGTATACTGGCATATGATACAGATTTTTTGTTGTGGTTGAGAATTATGGCAAAGAAAAATAGCCAACTAGCAAGATTTACAAAATCATGTTTTGTTTTTTTTTTTCCTGTGTTTGTAATTTATTTTTCTTTTCTCTCTGCAGGAACTCCCCAACTTTCAAATCATTTGAAGAAAAGGTTGAAAACTTAAAGGCAAGTAGAGATATGAACAGAGGTTTTGTGCTATCTTGCTGGTAACTTACCTTTTTTCAGTTTGAGTATACCATTCGTATTTCTTTCTAAACCACAAAGAACTTTGATGACTTTATTCTTTATATCCTTAATGGATAGTTAAGGTGATGTACACTTTTTTAATCAGTATTTTTTGAATGTGTGTTACTAAGTGCAGAAAGGAAATGCCTGCTTTAAAAAACAATAGTACTCTGGAAGTTCATGTTGCCTTTTGCTTTATTAATTTCAAAAGTTTTGTAATTGACAAAGTTTGATATAAATTTCATTGTAGAAATTTAAAAATATATAGAAAAGCACCAGAAAAAAAAACGCCAATTGGTCCTAGCATGCAAACAGTGATACATGTCAACATGTATATATGTAGGTATCAAACTTTCCAGAAGCAAAGTGTTAGAAAGCTTATATTCTAACTGGGAAAAATATTTCTCTCCTTTGTTGTTGTTGTTAATGTTTTTTGAATAAATACAGTTGGTGAACAATTTGATGGAATACAAAGTATTAGCCAAATATAAAGAAAATTCAATAGATATTTTATGATAATACACCTTAAAATGTTATTCAGATAAATTTCTCTTGAAAAACAATTGGCAGAAAGGAAAGAAAAAGAGGAGAGGTAGAATTTACCAATCTGAGTATTTCAACAGGAAGATTGCATACATTTTTCTATTAAATGCAGCAAACGCTACCAAAGTACTGAATTCCTTATGCATACAATGCAGAGTTATATATTCTGTGCATATGTAATAATCACTGAGCTATCAGGTTCCCGATTTATTTGTTCAATGTAAACAGAATTACTTTATGCAGAGTTAGTTAAGTTGATGTTTCATGATGTCTTTTCCTTTTTGAACTTTTTAAAAAGTCTAAAGTAGGGGGAACCAAGCCAGCTGGTGGTGATTTTGGAGAAATCTTGAATTCGACTGCAAATGCTAGCGCCACCGCCACGGAGCCTCTTCCAGAACAGACTCAGGAGAGCCTGTGAGATTCCTACCTTTGTTCTGCTACCCACTGCCAGATGCTGCAAGCGAGATCCAAGTACATCTTGTCAACATTCATTGCTATGAATTTCTACCAGATGTGCTTTTATTTAGCTTTACATATTCCTTTGACCAAATAGTTTGTGGGTTGAGCAAAATAAAATATCTTCACCTCTATTTCTGGGAAACAGTCTTTACTGCATACTCAAGTCCCTTCACTTAGGCAGTACCAGTATAAAAATGTGTAGGCATGGGGACTCTCACTCAGAATGATCCAAGAAACTGCAAGTTACCATAACTGCTTTCCTACTTTCAAAAACTGCTCTGTATTTGGGATACCAGGTTAATCATCTTTGTCTATGATATAATTTTTCTCTTTTAATTTCCAGAGATTTACCTCTTAATTAAAATTGCTCCTTAAAATTTCTGTATCCTGTGATTAAAAGTTTTGGCATAATTTTCCTTACCTTCAGGGGGTGAAAAATATTTTTGAAGAAGCATTGTTTTAGTCAAATATCTTATATGTTGGGTGTTTGAATACAGCAGAGTTAAATAAATCAGCTTTATATACAGTTTGCTTATATACAGTTTGCTTTAGTTTTGTAAGTGACAATATGCAGTTAATTCAAACTCTGAGGTGACATGAGTGAAACTCTTTCATCCTTTATCACTATCTGTGACAGTTACCATTTGTGTGTATTGATGATCATATACTATTTATTTCAACTTATTTTTTCATCAGCTTGAAATTTTAGTTTCAGAGTAAATTAACAACATACGAAATCAAACATACTGTTATTAGTAGGGTGAAATGTGAACAGTCTCATCAAATTGTTCAGCTCAAAAGTCTCAAAGTTTCTTGAATCTACGTATCTGTAAAAAGCTAAACCCAACCACATTAGGGCAAACATGGTTATCTTCACTTAATTCATTTTGCACAATAGAAAAGTAAGAAGCACACAGATATATGACTAATAAAACTTGAAAAATTTTTATACTGTGGGGTTGTTGATAACTCCTGAGGATTTAATGCATTTGTTAAAGTCAGCTCATCATTTTTTTGTTTTTGGTGTGTTAGCAGTTACAAAGTGATGCTGTAGACATTGTCCCCTATCTTGAAGATTGGGTGTCAGGGCTGACTGAACCAAAGCCTCCATGTAGAGGCTCTATATTTTAAAAGCTACTTACTCAGCACCACTACTTTTTCCTTATGCTGTGTATGGTTATGGCCTAAAATATTGTATTTGTTATTTATCAAGTTGTGACTGTTTTCTTATTGTGTATGCCAAATGTTAATTGCCAAGCTTGGTGTGACATAGAGCATTTTTTTAAAGCATGACTAGATTTTCTTCAGGATAAATGATCTTATGAAAACCAAATTTGAAAAGCCACAAGTGTTGTTATAAAATAACATGTTGCCATTCTTGGTTGCTAGAGCTTTTGTTAGCACTTTAGATGCAACTGAAACTATGCTTTATTACATGTGAAAAGCTGAATAAATTCTGTGTATCAGCAGTATAGATCTCAACATTTATTCTGACACCAGTGTAGTTTCGGAAACAGCTGTTGTATTAAATAATGAACTGGTGTCTACACTTTTAAACCCTTTTTTATTTTAACCATCTCCTCTAAGTCATTGCTTAACGGTATCTTCTTAACTTAATTATACATTATTTCCTTAAAGAGGCTTTAAAGCAAAGGTTGTTGAAGAACTGACCTACAGGAATGCATGTGTAGAAGAAACTTGCCTCTTTTATAGAAGTATTGTTTTTCAACATAACTGCTAAATTATTTTTGTACCAACATGCCCTTCATTTTATCACATCTTTCATCACATTATTTTTGGGTGGCTTGCCTTGTACTAGCTTTTCAAAATGAAGTTATGATGGCAATTTCTTTAGTTGAGTGAAATATACTAGAATCTCTTTACTGTATGGGGAAATGATAGAGACAGGCGTGGTAAGTGGGATGGGTGTATGTGGGTGTTGGTAATAGTTGTGAAAGAAGAAATCAGAAAATCATTTTTGTGGCCATCTATCTACACATAAACTAAAAGATGATTTAATCTATTGCAAACTACTTTGCCTTTTAAAAAAAGCAGTAAAAAGTAGAGGGTGGATGAATTTAGAAAAATAAACAGATAAATTTAGGTATATTATTAAAAATGGTCTGTGGATGATTCAATATTAACAGGTAAGACATTTAGAATGTGGTGATTACTAAGGATACTGGAGACAATCCTTGTGACTCACTCCCTTCGTGCTTTGTTTTTAACACTGTAAGAAAATAGCAACATAAAATTGAAATCTCAGATATTTAAAGATTCAGGAACTGTGAAAGAAGAAATTAGTTCCTGAAATTTTCCATAGGAATGGCCTTAATTTATGAAGTTTATGGAAAATAAAGCAAGAATTCTTATGCTTACAATAGAGGCCAAAGGAATCAATGGGATAGAAATCACTTTGATAACACAAGGGAACTATTAAAATAGGAAAAAAAAACATCTAATTGGGAACTACTATTTCTGCATCTGTTAAGAAATACAGACCCCTTTTTTGGTATAGTATTTAAAAACAATTAAAATGTATAATTTGGGTGTGGGTTCTGTTGTATATATTACCTGTCTGTTGAGGACAGGGTGAGTCCACTCTACCACTTCTCTGGAGACCCCATATCTTGGATATGGAAGTTAAACCGTAAGCAGCTATGGAATTAATGTATCAAAAGTATGATGCTCCATTTAGACCCCCAAAGGCATTTGTAAGTGCACATTTACTGATATGGTCCAGAGGAGACAGTTGGCCCTTTGTCACAATCACGTTTCTTTATAACTTTAAAGACCTAGATGAAAAATTTCTTCCCCATAGTGAAGAGGCATTTGGCCATCAGTGACTGTCCCATTTTAACTGGACTAATTATGGGACTATATGGGTTACATGTGTGATAAAGCTCACTTTTAAGGAAACCAGCACATTTTAATTTCACAATTTCCATATTCTGATTCTGGAATATGAATCAAAGGAACTAACTCACTTTTAGTTTGTTAGACTCCAGAAGGCAGGTTTTGCATGTGCTTATCACCTGCCGGGATTAAATACTTAAATAAATGCTATTTGGCAACTAAAATACCTAACAATGCTCATGTATGATATTGATATTACATAGTTGGTTAGCCTCGTGATTAATTTGGTGGTTTTTCTAGTACATAGTAAGTGTTTATGAGAGTTCATTCTCATTCAAATTGTTTTTAAGTTGAAAATAGTCTCAAATAGTATCACTGGCTTTATCCATTTTTTTTCTAAACTGTCAAGCATACTTAAGAGGAATGTTATTCTAATAACATTCCTGGTCACCTCTACCTGGCCACTTAAAAACCACTACATATCGAGAAAGGGTTAGTCTTTTAAAACTCATTTCCTTGAATTTTTTACTCAAGAATGTGACGGTGTAACAGTGTTATGGATGAAACTACAGCCAGTAGACATGAAAGCAGTGGTTGCACTATTTTTCATTCACTGTCCTAACCATCACTGAGATTTTTACAAAGCCTCTGACAATTTGCAAGACATGGGGGAGAAAAGAGGCTTGTAATTTTAATACAGCATGAAGGAAGGTGTGGCTCAAGGGGTAGAGCAGGATCAGAATCCCTAAGGTGCTGAGATATTAAAACGCCCATTAGAGCTGATGTTACACTTGTGATGGTAAAGACAGGGCAGTGTGTGCAGAAACCTTGTTGGTCTGCCAGTCCTATACAGTCATCCTTATCTAATGCTTCTGATGGCTACTAAGACTGTGATTGATATAAATATGCTGAATAGAAGATGGTCTGACATTTAGGAAATTTTTCCCAAAATGGCGTTAGGATGGCATTTAAAGAGGTTGGCAAATTCAGGAAGCTGGGGTTTGGGGTAAGGAGGGAGAAAATCAAGAGGATAATGGCTTATGATGGTGCAAATTTAGGGGCATCTCCCAAATGTTTAGAAGGGACTGTTAGAAGGGATTGCTAATCAGAGGTGACAAAATGCTCAGATCACTTTTTGTAATGCACGTGGATTGAAAGGTAATTTCCCAAGGCTGTTTAGGTTTTGCTACTCTACCAGGCCTGCTGCTTGGGGGTGTCCGGTGCTTGGATTCTGCTGCTTGCTGGCACAGACAGTTCCCGCATTAGACTCCTTGCCCACAGTGGTAGGTAGCTCTGGTTGCCTTAACCTCCTGCCACCCTCCAAACAAGAATGCTTATTCTATGATGGATGGGATTACAAGGTTCCCCATATAACCTGTATAAAATCTTACCATTCCTGTAATTCGGGCTCAGCCTTTTGGGACTGATGGCACTAAGCCCGTGTGTGTGACAAGTAAAGCTCGCTCTTTCCACCTCTCTTGAGTGCCCTCTGATTTCTATGGGCCAGAGGAGGTGACCAAATACAAACCTAGCTCAGGTATTTCACAAATGTTGAAATCATTACTCTTTCTCTGCCCGGTGTCAGGCATCCAACAGCCAAGTTCCTCCCTTACAGAGTTTACAAAACTGGGAGAGCTGACGGTAAATAAAAGGAAACTACATGGCATAGTGTTAAATGACATGAAGAAAAAACGGGTATGTACTTAGGGACTCCAAATTTAGGGCAATCAAGGACATGTATGTAACTGAACAACCCCATGATGAACAGCAGATTAAGGGGCCTCGCTCCCTTTTGGGGAGACCCCCCAAAACCCAGGGAGATGGCGTGTTATTACCAAAATTTACAGCAGCACAAGGTCCATGAGATGCCCGGGAGTGCGAATTCCTGCGCATCAGCAACGTCTTCAAAGCACAACTCGGTGGACCACTGCCAGTTGGTTAAGTCCAGCCACCAAGAATAGAATAGCAATAATAGCCCAAGACCCCAAATCCGCTCCCAGCTCCGTCTGGACCGCGCCCACAAACAGTAGATAGGCGGAGCTCTCGCGGCTCCGCCCCGTGACCGGTACGCTGGCGGAAGGGTCAAAGGTTAGAGGTTGCGAAGCAGTCATGGCGGCGCTGTGTCGGGCCCGTGCCGCGCCTGCCGAGAGTCATTTTTTGCGAGTGCTTCTCTTCTCCCGGCCCTGTCGAAGCACAGGTACTGACAGTAGCTCCGGGAGCGACAACTCCGGTTCCCCGGAGTCTAAACGGCGCCCAGGCGGCTTTGCGAGCGCTTTACAGCGGCACTCGGAGCTGCGGCGGAAGACGGAGCTCGGGCCGATGACAGTGAGTCGCGGGAACTACGCCAGATCCGCGGCGGGCGGGGCGAGAGGTGGGGGCGGAGCCCGGCGTGGTCGGGGCGGTCGCGAGACGGGACGTGGGCGGGGTTAGGAGGTGGGGCTGGAAGTCGGGAACTGGGGTGGAGCATGGAGGCGGTGCCGGACGATGCAGTGGAGCGTGGAGTGGGGGTGAAGAGGTTCTGCCCCTAAGTCTTGCTACAGGCCCCGATTATGCTGTATGCTTAGTGTTTTTTCTTTCGGGTGAGAAGTATATTTGTACGGTATTCACATGCTTGCTGCACGTGTGCTGTCCGCAGTCTGTGCCGCGACTGCCTTGCTGCAAGGGAAACCCGCTAGAAGCGCTGTCTTGGGGGCAGGTGCTGTCTGGGGCGACCGAGGGAGGATTGGACTCACACCGGGGAGCAGGACTCTGTACCGGCTTTTTCTACACAGTAGCTCCAGTTTGGAACCTCTTGAGTGCTGTGCAATGGTTTTCGTAAATATTCCTTGAGGTGAATGAGAGAATTACTCGTCTCTGAACTTGTGCAAGTGATTTAATCCGTCACTACTTCACCTTCCTTCTCTGTAAATGAGGATTTTTTTTTAAGTAGGATGAAATATTCCTCTTTCTCAGCAATATTTTTGTAAAATATAACCGAATTATACGGTAATGAAGAGTAAACAAGAGTACAAGTCCGAAGTTTTTTATTATTAGACATGAAATTGGATGGTAATAGGAACTTAATAAAAATAAACTCAGTTTCTGTACTTAATATCTTTGGCAACGATAGCAAAGTTTCCACAAACTGTTAGTGTCCTGGATTATAGAAAATTGCCTTCAATTTAGTATATAGCCAGTAGCTATCATTATCGACCCTACCATATCTAGAGAACGCTAGGTTATTGGGGTATATACAATATATGTGCTATGACTTACAACATTAAAGGAATACTGTTTGAACCTCACATTACTTCCCCTTTGACATTTGTGTTTTTCCAGGAGGAGACTGGGTGTAATCTTCATTTCACCAACTCTTAGCTTTGGAGAAGTTTCAGATAAATCTTCCTAAAGTTGAACTCTAGTCAGATTTAATGAGATGATTCATTTTGCTCTGCCTGAGAATCTTATATACCTTTATTCACATTGCTGACAAGTACACATTTCCCCATCAGTGACCTGTGCCACTCAAGATCCAGTCCACTGCAGAGGTAAAGCCTAGACTTAGTCTTAAAATGACTTAGTCATCTTACCATTATGATTTTGGATGACTTACTTAGCTTTGCTTTCTTATCTCAAAGTGGAGGTAATACTCTAACTGGCATTTCTGGATGTTCATGGAATAATCCTCCTCAGTGTAGTGACTGGTGCCAAGTAAGCTTTAACTCAATACAATTTTATCTTTTATGTGTACCCAGCCATTTCTCCTCTAGCTTCCAAGATTGTATGGTTCTTTGAATGAAATTCCACTATTTCATTTAGTATTTAAGAATTAACTTTTTTTAAATGAACAAGTCATTCTGTTTATTGTCAGTTTAAGGATATTTGTAATAATATATTACCTTGTGGCTACAGAATAAAGTGTGCCTACCTCAGAGTAAAGCTTTTTCCACACTGAAATATAAATTTCAGAGGGCAGAGACCTCTCCTATCTTGTTCTGTTATGTCCTCAGCATCTGGCACAGTGCCTGGTGTTAAGTGGGCAGTCAGTGTTTGCCAAACATGAGAATGAACAGTATACATAATACATTGAAGTTCAGTTATGCTTGGACTGTCTTTGAATTGAGATCTGTGACTGCACATAATTGTACAAGTGAGAATAATTCAAGCATCAGCTTATCAGTTAAATGTACTCATTCAGAATAATTGAACCAAAAATTTTAACTGGTAAGAAAACCGAAAATACCACACTAGTGTCCATTGCTTTTTCTGCCTTACATTTCTGTGGAAAAATACGAGCAGGTGTTGACAGTCAACTTTGTGAAAAAACTTTCATTTTTTGAAATTTCTGGATCTATTCAAAGGAATATCCTGAGATTACAAAGTGAATAAAGTTCGTCTTTATTGTGTGATCGGGATTTTTGAAAAGAAAAATACAAAGTATTAAAAATATTTGCTTACTTTAAAAAGACAATTTAAATAGCACTGAAGCATCTGTAAACTATAAAAGCCTTCTTTTCCTTTTCCTTAGTTCTTTAGGTAGGAGTCTTTAGTATATGCCACCAGATAATTTATATGTGTACATATATTTGTACATATACTTATATAATGGTATTCCTCTCTGCAGCACACACACACACTCACACATCTATACACACAGCTTATGATACCAGACACAGCTTCTTTCAACCTCATGAAACAGCCACTGCTAGCCATACCTCTCTCAGCCTTCAGAGTTAGGGTTTGTTTTAAGAGGATGCTCAGGCTTAGGCTTTGTTTTAAGAGGATGCTGTGGCTCATTTAATCTTCTATCCAGACCACTAAAACTTCCTCCGTGTCAGCAATAAGACTGTCTCTCTTATCCTCCGTGAATGCACTATCCCTGATTCCTTCAAGAACTTTTCCTTTGCACTCACATAATGGCCAGTTGGCGTTAAGAGACTAGCATTTGGCTATCTTGTCTTTTGACATGCCTCCTTGCTAAGCTTAATCACTTCTAGTTTTTTATTTCAAGTGAGAGTCTCGCACCTCTTCATTTTACTTGAACACTTAGAGGCCATTGCAGGGTTAATTGGCCTTATTTCAATATTGTTTCAGGGAATAGGAATGTCTGAGGAGAGGGAGGTAGAGAGATGAGGAAGTAGTTGGTGGGAGGAGCAGTCAGAACACACCATTTATCCATTAATTTCCCAGTCTCACATGAATGTGATTCTCGATGCCCCAAAACAATGACTGTGGTGACATCAAAGATCACTGATCACAGATCACCAAAACAGATGTAGTAATTAATGAAATGTTTGCAATATTGTACGAATTACCAGAATGTGAGGCAGAGGCATGAAAGGAGCACATGCTCTATAGACTTGCTCAAAGCAGGATTGCCAGCAAACCGTCAGTTTGTCAAAAATGCAGTCTGTGAAGTGCAATAAATACAACACAATACACAAGGAATGCTTGTATTAAAACACTTAGTACAAGAGCCTAATACTTAATAAGCACTCAATATGTTTATTTGCTGCTACCGAAAATCATCAGGAAAATTGATTATATATTTTTTGGTGGGCCAGAACTATGCCTATGTTGTTCGGTGTCATTTTCTTTGAAGATCAAGTTTTATTGATTCATCATTCATTTACAAAGCTATGTACTTTGGGGAGTTCAACTTCACATCTCACTGTGGGCACATACTTGACTGGCCCTCCATTGCCTATACAGTGTCACATACCACCTCTGTTCTTTTTCTCTCCCTTCTATCCACACAACCACATTTTTCACAGAATCTAGGGTCATTTGTGTAGTGTTTTACCAGTTAGTTTTCTTTGGTTATTTATATTTTACAAAAGAGTGAAAACATCTGGTAAACTGTCTTTCACTTTTTGACTTCACTTAGCATGATTACAAAATTCATGCATATTGTTGCAAAGACACTATTCCAATTCTTTAAAATAGCTGAATAGTACTTTTTAAAATATATTCTCTACAATCAAATTGTCCAGTGTTGGGGGGTATTTAGATTGGTTCATAATTTGGCTACTGTGAATAATGCTAACATGAACATGGGAATAACATACACTTTTTCAAATTAGTATTTTCATATTTTTTGGATTAATACCTAGGAGGTAGAGATTCTCCATACTGTCTTCCATAGGGGTTGCACCAGTTTACATTCCTCCCACCATTCACCCTTTTTTTGCTGTACCTCACTAATGTTTCCAGTCTTTTATAAAGACCATTCTCACAGCGTTGAGGTGATACCTCATTGTGCTTCTGATTTTAGCCAATTATCTTTAAAAGGTGACCTCTTCTCTCCTTTTTCTTCCTCCTGCAGGTAGGAATTTAATCAAGGGTAGTTCATCATGAGTTTGTTTATCTTAAATTTTCATTGAGGTACCTAGTTGAAGAGATCTCAAGTTTAAATGACCTGACAGGCCATTGGCATTGCTCTGTATGGAGGTTTGCATATTCCTTAGTCCCTACTCGGCTCACTTACTCACTTCTTTTATTTGGTTCTTTAATGTTAGTTTATGTATCTATTCTTCAACTAGTTTTTGTTATTTTGCGGGTAGGGGTCAAATCCTTTTAATTTTTGTAACTAGCTTAACACTTACATTTAAAGGGCCTGATAAATTTTTGATAAATATTTAAGACAGATACATTTTTCCTTTCAAAAAATACTTAATTTATCTCAGTAATTTGTAGATTGAAAGCAGAGCTTTAACAAGTGACCCATCTTGTAGCCGCAAGGTGGCAGTAGTTGAGAAAGAATGGTTTTTCTATCAATACTTTACGCATATTTCTGTTTTCTAACGGTAGAGGGTGGAGTATCACCCTTCAGCAATATTGAATGCTGAAAGAATTTTTAAAACCACACAGTAGACTATTTTATTGTATTAATGTAGAGAATGACATTTTTCTATTTCAGCTTATTTAGAATATGATGTTATTTGACAGTTTATAGTTTTATTTTTGCAATATATTAAATTTATACATTGTTTTTTACCTTTTTATGAATATTTCATATTGGTATTTTTATTTCTAAATGCTGGAATATTCCAGAAGACAGAATATTTAAATCAGCGTTTTACTCTTTCAGAATACTACAAAATAATAAATCTTATTCAGACAATTTATTTCAAGATGAGGAAATTATCTAATTTTTAGTGTAAGTTTTAAGTACACTAGTACTTAAACTTATAGCAGCTGTTATATAGTTTCATTTATTTCTTTGTTTTCTCACTATATTGATGAGTTTGAAAACACTTCATTGTCTTTCAAACTAGTATTTTATATGAAAATATGGAAAAATATTGAAAAGTATTTCTGGTTTTAACCATGGTGCATTATAGAAT